ATACCGCAGCTCGGACTCCCCTTGGAACAGCTGGGTTAAGAAGGGCATAATTAGGATAAAAGACATTTGGGATTCGGGAAACAAGGATTGGAAAGCAGCGCCATAGATCAGGGAGTCGCTGAGATATTGTCATAATATAGAAAAGAATTGGAACAACTGATCTTCTCAATCCCCCTGGACTGGATACGCATCCTGCGCAAGGGGCCGAAGCTGGTGGTGGGGGACTGGGTAAAAATTCCCGGGGACCCAGAGAGAGTGGGGAGCATTGTAGAGGCACGCGAAGACGAAACGCTGATCAATCTCTTCCACAAAGGGGAAAACAATAAATTAACTAGATACACCCCGGATGTGACGAGATGGTGGCGGAAAACTGATCTGCATAGAATCCGGGTGCTACAAGATAAGGAGGGGTGGATTGCATATCAACCGGACACCTGGATTGCAGACCTCCCCCTTGACCCGGAGGAGTGGCAGTGGCCCCCTGCATGCAGAACTCAGGGGACTGGAAATGTGAAGCTGCACAACCTAACAGTAAAAGCCACGTACCGTCTTTTGCGCCCCAAGGTAAACCTGCGAGACGTGGTGAAGTCACGCTGGAGGTCTCATTTGAATGTGGGAACCGAGGCCATCCGTCCCATTCGGTGGTTCTCCCTCACGAGGACTAAACCCGCAAAGTTGGCCTCGCTGCAGTGGCAGATAGAGCATCGTTGCCTCCCCACTAACGACTGGCTAATAGATCGCACACACTTGGAACAGAAAGGTCTGGCGCTCCCATGGTGTAAGTCGTGTCACACGGGGTTCCCCTCCCGCAAAATCCCAGAAACAATAGAACACATATTTATGCAGTGTCCGGGGGCGATCCTTACATGGCGATGGTGGGACAGAATCTGGAGACTGCTGGAGACTGAATCAACCTGGCCATGGGACTGGAGGGCAATCCTGTGTGAAACATGGACCTCCCCCTCGGGCAATGCTTTTGAAAACAATATGTTTAAGATGGGGAGGAGGGCAGTTGTGTGGGCGATCTGGAGAAGAAGGTGTATACATGCTCTCGAGGGAGTCCGCATAGCTGGGGAGGAAATAACTGACATGATCAAACAATATATTCATCAAGAAATTATGGCGCAATGGCAGAAAGTTAAAAATCAACTAGACCTGTTCCAGACATATAAAGATATAAAACAAGCGATTCAACGTTTCTCAGGGGACTGGCTGGGAGGTGAGAGCGGAGGCCGGGTAGATTTCGTAAAGTGGGACGGACGCTGCGCCCAAGGGAGCACGGCGGACAACCAAGAAGGTAACAGGGGGGTGGTCAAGAGAGATTATCAGATCTGCTTTAGAGATTGGACAACAGTGGGCCAAGAGGTCCCGCTTCGGCCGCCCTCGGATTTCCACGACCCTTTCCCGCCTCATCGATTGGCTATGGTGGATATGCAATGGTATGGGAAGGAATAAACAGGCGGATAAGTGGTCGGCAGGACGAGACGACATCAATGCTGGCAGGCCCATGCTTCCGTCTTATTTTGTACATGGGATGCTGGGGCCATTTTTCATTAAAAAAAAAACTGTGTGTGACAGAGTGAGCAAGTTGTGTCTGGTTCCGACAGAGTATTGGGTCAACGGGTCAACTGGATAAGGCACACATATAGTCAAATAAGGGGGCTGCTGAGACAGGGCTGGGTCACCAGATAAGGGGTGCTCCTCAGAAGGGATGGGTGATATTAGCAGCTCCACGGGATATTGGAGGCTCGAGTTTGAATTGACCACAGCCCCGGGGAACAACAAACAGCAAGCTCTGTATTGTACGATGTCTCAAAGGGACGCTGGGCCCGGTTTCCAGCAGGTGCTGCTCCCCACTAATAGATGGAGCCTCCCCGACGGAGCTAGATGTGTCTGCTCCTATCAGCACACCTAGCATCCGATCGGGTTGTTCTCTCTCAAAAAAAAAAAAAAAAAAAAAAAAAAAAAGAAAACAGAGGATAAGATTGTGAGTTTATTTTTCCAAATTTGAGCAGCTGAATTTATAACTGTGTTTTAAGCACTAGATTAGAGCAAGAATATAGGAAATTAGAATATACAAAATTGAGACCAGCGAAATCGATTTGAAAAGGCAGCCGAAGCGAAGAGCACCACACATGTTCGCACAAAATTCTCATGCTCCATCGCCACTGTCATTATTGCGCCGCTACCTGCTTCCGTGTCTTTAACTGTTGAATCAGCTCAAACGAACGCTTGAAACCGCCAGCTCTTTTTGACGCTCCAGCTTGTAACAAGCCTCCCTCCTCCCACTCCGGATGAGAAGATGCTCCTCACTTTCTGCCCGCACTGCCCAACCAACCTCCACTAGATTCGTGCAGGAGCATAGGAGCAGGGCCACTACCATGCCCAAGATCTCATGAAGACAATCCTAATCACCCCGACAGTCTCCCCTTCCTCTAGCGTGTCAACCCGTGACACCACATGAATGAAGCACGGAGCAATAGACCTCTTCAGCCTAGGTTATCAAGGCTGGAAGAACCCTCAGCCGAAGCATCACGTCAATGRCCGCGCCAGACAAAAACCAACGGAACCTCGYGCCATSGCCTGCCGCCGTAATCCCCATTGCCCACATCAACTCCTCGATATTCCTCGCAGGGAGCCGTGCCGACAAGGCGCCACCAACTCACGAGCCGGCCCATGTCGATAGCGGAGCGGTGCGGCGCTCCCGGTCGTGCCACGCCGCCACCGACCATCACACTGGGTATGGTGAAGGGGGTCTCCTTACTGCTGCTATTCTCCAGTGTTGGCATTGTTTTCTGCAGCGTATCATAGGCCATCGTCTATAGGCCGTCAGCCAAGTCATCTGGGTTCCCAAGCTACCATCTTCACCCGAGTAGAACACCCGGTCATTATAGCTGTATTTGGCACAACTTTCGGTCCAGATGCAGCGATAATGACCAGGCGTTCTATTCGGGTGAAGACGGTAGTTAGGGTTAGTATAGTGGGCTATGGCGACGACAAACTACAATGGGGTATGCTACTATGCTGAAGATAAACCACAATGTTGGACTATAGTAATGATAAGCCACAATGTCAGAACTCTGTTCCGCAGGTCCGCGTTTTTCATTTTTTTGAAACCACCAGTACACCCGGGCCTGGAGGCGCCTTACTGCTCGCCAAGGTTTTTTTTTTTCCCGAACCGCGCCAGCGGCGCTCTTTCTTTATTTTTTGGCTGGTGCCTCCGGCCGTTGTGGTTGTAGGCTGAGCCTCCGAATATTTTGTTGGTGACGAGTTTGCATTTTCAGCAAGGCTGAGGCCGTGTATTGGCGGTATAATGGATCAGATATTAAAGTCATCAGAACAGAGACTATAGTTGATCTTAGCCGAAAGGCCGAGAAAGGTATCAGGTTCGCTTTTTTATCAGCCATTCAGCCACTAGTCCAATCCATCGTATAGGTACTGCTGTGCCTATGATTTTTTGCCTCAGTCCAACCTGACAGGCTTGTACTATGTAGAGTAGATCATCGTTTGTTTTTCAGCACTCCCACCTGGGCTGCATACGCTGCCTCTCCACCGCAATTCGCCGTGGCGGAGAGTTTTAAACCGCTAGTACACTACGCCCCAGCCTTGCTGAAAACAAACTCGTCGTCTACGAGTTTCTTCCGAAAAAGACAGCGCAGGAGCGCCGCCGATTAAAAAAATCGGTGGCCTGTGTCGCTTTTCGGATTCTGATGGGTGCTCACGGCCGATAGCTGGATGTGATTGTGCTTTAAGGGAGACCCCTTGGGAGGAAATATCTGATGAAACAGTCACACACTGGCAGCCCCGGAACAGCACAGCCTTGCAACAGCGTTTTCGACGTACAGCAACGATCGTTCAAACACCTTCTTCTTTTCACATTGCTTTCCAAAAGACAAGAATAGGTAATGCATGCTCATCTAGCACTCCAATACATGCTATAGATGCTGCCTCAGTGATGGCTTACCTTGAGCTAAACTTGTCACATATGACACTTTTTTTTTCAGTGCAAATTCGGCGAGGTTAACCACGTGTGCACAAGTTGGCAGAGTAGGTCTCCTTACTTATCAGGACTCCCAGACCTGTCAACCAGTGTCCATCCAAGCACACCGCTACCGATAGATCAACCAAGGCTGCGGGCATTGCCGCTTCTCTGAGTGGCCACGGTGGATATTCTGGAGAGCCTTTGAGAAGAAACATCTGATGGGCGGCACAACAATGCGCCGTACACCAGCAACTGAAGCAGAAGCAGAAGCAGATGCTTGTCACATGCTTTCCACACACAATGCAAGAATGACGAATTCATGAATGTTCATGGTGGGTAGATATCAGGGGGGGGGGAGAGAGAGAGAGAGAGAGAGAGAGAGAGAGAGAGAGAGAGAGAGAGAGAGAGAGAGAGAGAGAGAGAGAGAGAGAGAGAGAGAGA